TGGACAGATAGCTGCAGCACAGTGGAGTACATTACACTAGCACTGTTTGACCTGAAACGCTCACGTTTTGTCCTGCCCTAAATTACAACAGGAAGGGCAACAGCTGCTTTAAATCCTCAATAAACGGGTTGATAGCTGATTTTCAGTGCAATAAAATGTCAATATCAACACTAAAAAGTAAATTACAGCACTAAATGACATACTAAAACACAATGTCTGAGCATGTTGTAGTCAACGAGGAATTCAGTGTTCTCCTGATGGTCAAAACACTTAAACCTTAAAGGGGTCATATGATGTTGCTAAAAATAACATTATTTTGTGTATTTGGTGTAATGAAATATGTTTATGCGGTTTAAGGTTAAAAAAACACATTATTTTCCACATACTGTACATTATTGTTTCTCCTCTATTCCCCGCCTTTCTGAAACACGTCGATTTTTACAAAGCTCATCGTTCTGAAAAGCGAGGTGTGCTGTGAGTGGCCAGCTTTCCAGTGCGTTGTGATTGGCCGAATACCTCAAGCATGTGACAGAAATGTTACGCCCCTTACCATACTGTGATGCCGTGTCCTGGCCGGAGGGACGAGTTGCATCCAGTGGGGACATAATTACGGATTATAATGACTTGTACTGTCTTTTTACGCGTTGCGTTGCATCGCGCCACGTAAACATAAGACCATGTCTGCATTTGTGATCGGAGAAATGACAAACAACAAGCGCTACTCTACACTGCTCAAAACTCGCGTTTGAATCATCAGTGGCAAATCCTTTAAATGAAAACGTACTTGCAGTCTGTGAGTCAGAACAGCCGGCACTGGCGTGGTTGACTCTTAACTTTTATAAAGAATATCTCTTTGGATTTGAGACTTTAGTCTTTGCAACTTTACAGATCTTCTTTATGCACCAAGAGCTTGTAACACTTCAAAGAGAAAGGAAAAATTTTAAATCGCATCATATGACCCCTTTAAACAACTGGCTAAGTATAAGCCAAATTAATCATACTTTTGTTACAAACACAATAAGACATTATTAATTTACAACAATGACATTACTTACCATGCTTGACCACTTTGGTAGAAAAGTCCAGTTTCAGTGTGAGCTGCGAGCAGTTTGGGCTTAAGAGTGCATCAGCATTTAGAGGAGAAGGAAAGGGTGTTGAGAACGGTCCACTGTCTTCCTCTGTGCCCACCACAGGCAATCGACACCCTAAAAAGGCCACAAGCAAGCACAGCCGTACAATCATGGTCCCTGCGGTCTGTTTCTGGTCATTGCCCATTTAAAGATACATGTGTCCTCAAAGCTAACAAACGTGAATGGGTATTTGCAGTTTTGAAATAGTTTAAGTCCAGAATGCAGAGAAGCCTGAATAACACATGGCTTAAGTTTTCATTTCTTTCGGCGTTTTCTCTCCATTGTGTGTTTGTGGTCCAGTGGAGGTGATCAGTGTGGCAGCCTGAGGAGGAGGAGGGGGGCCATCTTCACAAAAAGAGTAAAACAGTCTATTGTAGATCAGGAGGGGTGTTCATCTGGTGATGGGATTCCTCACAATGACCAAAGGGTTTTATGTTTTCTGCAGACAGAGAAAAGACAACAATAGTTTTTTTTAGCTAGTTGCTGGAAAAACAGTCAACTGATACTTTTACTTAGCAAAGATGTATTAAATTTATCAACAGTAACAGTAAAGACATTAATCCTGTTTTTTTAAACTTTCTACTCAAAGAATCATGAATGTCTCAGTTTCATGAAAATAAGCAGAATAAATGTTTTCAACATTGATAATAATAAGAAAAGATCTCATCTCAAACTATGCTGGAGAACATGATCATCAGGTTTTACGCAAACTTATGGAGTTCATGCAGGTCAAGCACTGCTATCATTAAAGACATCTAGAATGATGCTTATAATCCACCACGAAGTGTCAGCCTCATAATATCGTGAGAGGCATTTTCATGAAAACATGGTCCCCCACCCAGGCACACATCCAGAGGCTTAATTTGCCACTAACTCTGGGCTGTGAACGCCTGTCCCACAAGAGGTGGGCTTAACACGGATGGGCTGAGGCATTATGCAACTCAGTTTTACATCCGTAAGACCTAAGCCCCCAATATGCACACCATACGGTTCTTTACTACAGACAAGACCATCCTTGCTAGTCACAGATACACGCAGAATGGGTGCAAGGCTGTAAAATTATTGTAAAGACATAAGTACTGACTTGTGTCAACAAGACAAGAAAAAAATGCTTTTATAGTTGCCATGAAACAGAAGTTGTGATATTCCTTTCTTGTATATCATAGTGAATTTCTAGCAAGAAAAGGAAAAAAAGGAGGACAAGACTTAATTTTGTCTATTATAAATTAATTGAATCGTTGTCGTTCGACATTGGTGCAGTCTCATGTGAGTGACAGGTTGTCCCGACAAACTTCTCTCTGATGATGTATGCAAGACTTCTCCAATCATTTAGTTAATTTAAACACTGTTCCTGCACTTCAAGTTCATTCGTCTCTATTTTCGAGAGTAACGGCCACATCTCAAACTCCATGACAACTTCCGCATCTGAGATGCTCAGAAATGTGTAAAAGGTTCATACGAAGAAAAACCGGATGCTACATCCATTTCATCGCAACTTTAAAGGTGGCCAAAATAAAGAGAATGTGAATGTGATCTTCACAAAATCTGTTTACTTTGATTCAGTTTGTGGAGAAACATAATCTAGGATGTTAGTGTAAGGCTCAAGTAGTAATTCACCCAAAAACAAATACCCTGTTTGACTTATTTTCTTTTGTAGTTTTAGGCAGAATGAAGTTGTTATTCTGTGTACCATCTACTTTTGGTGAATAAATGACGATTTTCATTTTGGGTGAACCATCCCAACAGAAAAAAAAAAAATCTAAAGCCACTAGACTTTTTTTTTTTGAATCGAGCAAAAAAACAGCAGTCACTTATTCCAGACAGTGGGCTAATTATTATCAGCAACAGTAGTAGAAAAAAGGCCTGAAAAAGGCATAATTTTCTTAGCCAAAAACATTAGTCTTTTAACAACATACAGAAACAATATCATAACTAAATAGTAGCTAAAGTGAATCTTCTTCTGATAATGTTATTTTATTTTAAAAAAAAATCAGCATTTTGAACAGCACTTGGAACAATGCCTTTACATCGACACTGACAACATTGTGTATTGGATGCAATGTTCAAGTTGGAAGTGGACTTTGAGGTCAGTGTTTAGATGGACAGTTTCGGTGCGGTACTGATCACAAAGCTTTGTCTGATGGACAGATCTGAAATGATTTAATGTCTTACTTTTAACAATACAGTCATTTCACACAAGCTAATGACAATAACACTAGCAGTCTTGCTAGCTACACCATCAACCAAACAATCAGTTTACGCTGCGCAAAGCAGTTTGCCAGAATATCTCGTTATTTACGATCCCCTTCATATAAAAAAAAAAAAAAAAAGCTTCAAAGTTAATTTTTTTTTCTCTAGCACAAACATGTGGTCTCGCCGCCTTCCTGCTAAAAGCTAACAGCTAGCTGAGCAAATCTGACCATGAGTTCCCACACATAACCAACAACCCCACATTATACTTACAATGTGCAGAATGTACAATGATGATGCAGGAAATTATGAATTCCCGGAATATGTCGTCTAAAATATTTTGTATCTTGGCTTTAGTACATATTAGAACTATAGTGATGGCGTAAACTGTAAGAATGTAACGTGAGAAACTGGTATTAAACACAAGCAGTAGCCAATTATCAAGCGCTACGTCACGTCTCGACGCGGGAGGGATAGGCGTTCAGCCAATAGAAAACGTTTATACCTTTATGTTTCTATTATTATTGCGATAATAATGTGCTTTTTAGAAGCAAGCACGTTAAAGGTGCACCCAGTTATTTCCCCTCACTGGAAATCTTTTAACGAGTTGAACAGTAAAAAAATAACTAAAATCATATATGTTAGCGTGAGTTGGAGAATTCAGTCACTCATAGCCCGATAAGTAGCTTAGTAAAAGCTGTTTTATTTTACATGGAGCGGGTCGCATCATGGATGCCCACAGGTTCAGATTGCATGACAAGCGGCATACGGTTTAGTAGTAGTTTGCTGCCAGTTCTTAGCTGGTTTAGGGTGATTTCCCTGGTCTAATCTGGTGTTCATCTCATCAGGTCCAGTTGTTAGGTCCATCGTTTTCCCAGCTTGGCCAGACTGAAGTTACACTACTTTATTTGGTCATCCAGCCTGGCTTTGCTGGCAGTGAAACAATAGTCTATATATTAAGTTGTACATTTGTTGTCAAGACCCTGTAATATGTTCAAAATCTTATTCATAACCATCCATTTATTATTTATACTCACACTCAAGTATTCACACACACATGAAGCAATGTACATCCAGCTACATTTTTACACATATACATAAATACTTTTTGATTTTATGGATCAATTTGGAATGTTTCCAGATTATTACTGCAATTCCTTTGAAATGTATAAGAATACAATAAACACACATTCATATAATTATTGTTACAGGTATCTATAGTAATCGTTCTTGGAGTTAATGGGCCTTAAAACAGATAAAGGAACAGATAAAGTGTTCTAATAACTCAGATTCTCAGGCCTGCAATGGACATTAAGAAAATTTGATGATGTTCTTTTATCTGCACTTATCTGTTTCATGTACTTTACAGTAGCATGATGTGCAAACTTCAGAATGTATAAAGGTTAAACTGAAAAGCATGATTTATTTGTTTTGTTCTGGGTGTCACACATGAAAGATATGCGTGACATGCAATGAAAAGGTTTTTTAGTCTTGGAATGTGGTTATGCAGTATTTCTAAGAGTTTTTTGACCACAATAATAGACATTGTAGACATAATGGAATCCCTTATTGCAAGCTGCAAGATTATTTGTTAATGTTTACCATAAATATTTAAGCATTTGTATCATTATTTAAACAGACAAAAACTTTTACAACTTTGATGTTTTTATTTAATATCTTTAAATTATTTACTCCAGAAATGTTAAAAAAATTTAATCAGTCATTAAAATATATTGCCACTTTACAATGAGCACAAGAATAAAAAACAGTCAATGTCATGAGGTAATTTAACAGTTTTATGATTCAGATTAATCCTTTTAAACTCCCTTACAGTGCGTATCAATACTCTTCTCTTACCAGATTAGTGCCAAGCAGAGGTTTTAATACCATCGTTGAATCTATCCTGTGTTTTTCAAACATTTCTAACTCTGCCTGCTTGGTGAGCCATGCATGCATGCATTAGTCTTCATTCTCAGTGTGACAGCAGCCTCACTCCCGTTGAGCCCCTCGTGCTCCAATTGCAGTGACATGACAAACTTCTACATCGGCCCCTAGCTTATGCAGCTCATCCAGCCAGATCTGTTGCTTCTGGGACAGACGGTCATTAGGACCCTTCACTTCCACCAGCTAGAAGAACACAACTCAATTGAGCAACGATTTAAAGGCCCCTACTTTATAGATCCAGTATTTCCATTGTTTCTTAACATTCTAATCTTATTAAAGCAGTAAAATAAGTCACAGTCAAAAGTTGAATACAGCAAGCTACATCTCTGACTCACCTTGTACTTCTTGTTGGACGTGCTCCAGACTACCAGATCTGGAAGTCCTCCTCTGCAATGCCTATAGTCCTTTGCCATTCTGAGGACCACACCACTCAGGAAATGGCCACCCAAACATGCCACTAGACTCTAAAACCAGACGAAGAAAACAGCAATTACACTGTGCTTGTGTATGGTTGTGAACATAATCTAGCATACACAGTATAGTCAATTATGCATTTCTAATAATACAAATACCATTTGTAATAATGACTAATAATGTTAAATCTGTGTCAAATATAGTCTCTGTGATTACCTGTGCCTGCTGAAGAGAGGAGAAGCGCTCCCAGTTTATCAGCACACACACTCTCCCCTCCTGTGCATTCCACACATCAGCGAGCAGCTCCTGAAGCATCTCGGCAGACGCCTCGCGCAACATCTCAGCACGCGCCTCAATGGTTTCCCGGCGGTTACCGTAGAAACAATCAGTGTGCAAATCCAGAGGACAAGTCTGGGAAAGGGCATGCAGTCATTGATCACTGATCTGTTGGGGTGGTATGCCCTGACAATAAAGTGCAACCCTAAACGTGTGAAGCACACAGCATTTATTTCTTAATTATTGTGTACCTGGTAGGGGTTTCGGAAGACATCAGGAACCCCATCGATAAAGATGATGTCCCACATGAGGAGTCCAAAAAGGGTGGAAAATGTAGAGCCTTCTCCATGAATACCTTAAAAGAGGATTTCAGAAACCTAAATTGAAAGTATTAAGGCACAGCAGAATGGATGTGCTTGTGTATGATGTTATGAAGAAATTTAGAAAATGATTTTGAAACTATTTACTTTATGGAACACAAAATAGTGAATCTTGAATGATGTACTGGTTGTTTATTTCCATGCAATCACAATGAATGAGGACTGGAGCTTTCAAGCTTTTCAGGAATAAATACACCATAAAAGTGATCTACAGGATCCATTTGCTATATAAGTTTTCTGAAGTCATAAAATAGCTTTGGAATAGAGAAACAGACTGAAATTTAAATAGTTTTCACCGAAGATCTGTACATGACTTAAGTAGCAATGTCAGATTTGTGAAAAAAATCGTTCGCATGATTCAGATCTTTTCAATGAATCAATTGATCTGGTTCACAAACCAGTCTGAACACAAAATGTCTGTTTATATTTACAATCAAATGAGGTACCTGCTCATGTTGTTTTAGGTGTTGCTGGAGATTGAGTGCAAGTCTGTCCCACCAGCGCCCCCTACTGTCTACACAATACACTGGCTGGGACAGAAGATTCCTGAGCTCCTCCACAGAGTTCTAAATTGCAGAAATGAAAAGATAAATAATTCAACAAACTCATGTAACATCAATATACAGGATTGTAAAGTGTTTACAATGGCATCATTAACTCCATGTTTTTTTCCATGGTTTGTGTATTCACCCACCTCATAGCGGCGAAGTCTTTGTAAAATCTCAACTCCTCGAGACAGTATCCGAGTGTAGGTCCAGCCCACAGTGAAACACCGCAGAAAAACAGGCAGTTGTTCTTGATGACTGCACACATATTAAGACTCAATCCATCTTACAACAGCAAGCAAATTAAATGAAAGATACATTTTCAAACCTTAGGTCACAGGAGTCTTTCATCTCCTGCCAGGTGGCCTTTGCTGTAGCATAGAGGACATGGGCGTCCTCCCAGCTGCCTGTCTGCATTGCAGCAATCACTTCCTGCAGCGCACGCATCGCTGTTTCATACCTGTACAGAAGAATACGTACAGAATCTAACGTTTTAGAATAATAAAAGACACATACCACCCTCATGAGGAAAGAGCTGGCCTCGAAGTGTCACCTGTTAAAACACTCCTGTTAAAATCTTGTTAACTGTGTTGTTATTAACTAAAACTATAAAAAATTTAAATGCAATAAAAATAGAATTTTTTAATCAGATGAAAATCTTAAACTTGAAAAACTTAAAATGTACAAATTAGAACTTAACATGTTTAAGTTGAAGTACCTAAAAATTAACCTTTTGTTATTATTTACTCACCCTCATGTTGTTCCAAACCTGTATAAGTTTCTTTCTTATGTTGAAAATAAAAGAAGATATTTTGAAGAATACTGGTAATCAAAGAGTTGATGGCCCCCACTGACGTCCATAGTATTTCTTTCTCTACTATGGAAGTCAATGGGGACGGGCTTTTCTCTTTCCCATCATTTCGAGATGCACCATTAGAGGGTGTTTTGGTTCTTTCCTCCTGCTTGTGGTCACTGACAGCCAGTGTATCTTCATGATCCTCTCCAAGAAACTTCTGACATTGAGAGTCTATATGTTCATTAATCTTGTAACGAGGCACAAGTTTGCCACACAGAGGACATGCCAGTTTACACGGTGGTGTATTCCTGAAAAATGAAGTTATGGAAGCAACCCCCCCTCCACTGCTTGTTCTCTCTTTGATTGCACAGACCTTCTGGCTCTTTTTCTTTGTCACTGAGAGTCTTCTGGAACTGCCTCTATTTGACGAGCTGCCTTTGCCCGTCTGAGACTCCATAACTGTTTATATATGTTGTCCCATAAACCAGCTAGACAACGTCGAATGAAGTATCATACTGAAGTAGTTGTGAAGCAGGCTGCATATTTGTTTCTGAACCTGAGGGAAAGTACATAAAAACAAAATACTCAGTAGGAGAGGGTGGCATTCAACATACATTGCCTTAATTAAGTAAAGAAATGGTGCTTAATTTTATGTTTAGTCACAACTGATTTGCTTTGTCCGCTGATTCAGATTCTGCAAGTCGTGCAAGACTGACAATAGACCAAAGTCTCTTTGCAATAGACTGCATTAGACATGCCACCAACAAATTAAAATAAAAAATAGCATAATATGAAACAAAACAATACTGTCAAATACAGATTAGACTATACATAAAAATAATTACTATGCAATTATAAATAAAGTTTCTGATAAATTTACAGCCCTTTCTGGCGCTGAGATTAAACGTGAAGTCAGTCACAGGAATACATGGCGCCACGATTTTTTTTTATTTATTTTTTTATTTTTCAAAATAAAAGTCAGCTCCAGTCCAGTCTTTCTCCAGCCAAGTATTTCCCTGCTGAAAAAAAAAACAATAGACACCATCACAAAATTGTAATGGTTATAATGGGACTTGTATTGGTTTTAATGGTAACTGCAATGGACCCTGTGGGTCTCTACTGGTAATTGGTCACTTTCTGTTGGTGGCTTGTTAAAACCAATAAATCCTAAGGGAATATGTCCCAAAGCACACAACAGTAAACCATTATTAATGGTTTAATGGTTTTAATGGTTAAAAGTTGATGGTTTGTAATGGTGTTTGTAGTGGAAACCATTAGAATTTTCTGTGATGGTTCTATTGTTTTTATCTTTTCATCACAAAGTTGACTTTTCGTTGTATTTTCTCCAGCTGTTGCGTAGCAGCTTACGTTAGATAGACTAGTTTAGCTTAAACGTGTTTTTTGTTTGTTTTGTTTTATTCAAGTAATGTTGGGATACTTCACCCCAAAATATTAAGCATTTAAATCATTATTAAGCATTTACTCAAAATTTTCATAACTTACTTCTCTGGAACATAAAAGAAGCTATTTTAGGAAATGTTTCTTTTTTTTTTTCAACATAATGGAAATTGGTTCCCAACTTCCCACCGTTCTTCAAAGTATATTTCTTGTCTTCTGCAGAAGAAAGTCATACTGATTTGGAATGACACGAGTGTGAGCAAATGATCCAACAATTTTTGGATTGACTATTCTTTTTTTCCCTGTTGAAAAAAACAGCATATGCTGGTTAGGTATGTTTTGATGCTGGTTTAAGCTGGTTCTTTGCTGGTTTATGCTGGTCCTTTTGCTGGTTTATGCTGGTCATGTGCTGGCAAAGGACCAGCAAAGAGCTAAAGCTTTTCCTAAAGAGCTGAACAAATAGGTACAGACATATTCATTAAAGTGAGACCATGTCGTGACATTTGTTTTTAGATCAAATATTAATGATTTCACTATTTGGAAAGAATTCTATAATTGTTCTTTATTAAAATTGACAAGGATCAAAACACTTACTTTCAAGAGACAGTGTTGGATTGAATTCAACAAATGGACAACAGTTGCAGTTTTATTTCAACTGCAGCTACAAACACATTCCTTACATGAATGTTGGTGATACACTAAATCAAAAAAAAAATTTTTGCACTTTTAAGAGCATTTTCTTTACTAGTCTCAATTTGACGTGCTAGAAGATCAGATATATTTTAACAAGCACATATAAAATAGCTTTTTTCTTGAGAGAGAAAAATATTTGGGGTATAAAGGCATATACAAACAGTGGTCTTCCCAAAGTCTTTTTTGATTTTTTATAAAATATTTTAGTGGATACTACTGAATTAAAATGAACATGTATGACAGCCTTAACACTCACATATGAACCCTCACAAATCGTTGAATTTAACCAATAAATAAATGTTTTTCTAAGTTACACAAGCTTAAAAGTAAGAGAATGTGTAAGAAACCAAAAACAAGAATATTTCTGTACTCAAATACTGTTACCAATGTGATGTTGCAATTTTTTCATAATATTGCTTGTAAAACAAATTCAAGGCACTTGCTGTGAAACGGGACACAACTCAAATACACAAATTCCTTTTCTCCTTAATTATTTGATATAAGATTTTATAAAAACGAAAAACAAAACAAAGAACAGATTTAAGAACATATTTTGAGAAGTCCTCATATCATCACAGTTTTAACATTAATTATTTTCATGGGGAATCATATTTCAGATCTCACCAAATGTTCCTTGTTAATACAGGCACACAGGAATTTCTTTGGCACATCTCTACTAGTTTCTGACAGAGGGGGGTGAGAGTGAAAAGGCTGCCAAAAGACCTTCATGGTGGTTCAGTGCCTTGCTCAAGGCACAACAGCTGGTGACAGAGAAAGTAACCGATTCGGATTCAGGGCTTCCCGATACTGGCCACCCATACTGAGAGAGCAATCAATATCAGTTAGTATGATTAATTACTACAACACATGTACAGACAGATCCAAGAGAACAAGTCAAGAATCACGGCAGGTTTGTTCACTGACCAAATCTAAAGACTTAAAGACATTTTTCTGTGTATTTTTCCAACAGGTTTTAACAACTGATATTAACATTAGGGTCCATATTAGTAGGATTGCAGAAAAGGCTAGAAGAAGGGACAGTTGTTTCCCATTCAGGATAAACACATATGTGACCCTGGAGCACAAAACCAATCTTAAGTCGCTTGGGTATATTTGTAGCAATAGCCAAAAATACATTGTATGGGTCAAAATGACTGATTTTTCTTTTATGCCAAAAATCATTAGGATATTAAGTAAAGATCATGTTCCATGAAGATATTTTGTAAATTTCCTACCGTAAATATATTAAAATTTAATTTTTGATTAGTAATATTCATGGCTAAGAACTTCATTTGGACAGCTTTAAAGGCGATTTTCTCAATATTTAGATTTTTTTGCACCCTCAGATTCCAGATTTTCAAATAGTTGTATCTCGGCCAAATATTGTTCTATCCTAACAAACCATAACCATCAATGGAAAGCTTATTTATTCAGCTTTCAGATGATGTACAAATCTCTACACTTATGACTGGTTTTGTGGTCCAGGGTCACATATTTGGCAATGTAGAGCTCTTTAATATTTTTAGACCAACTTAAAGGTATTGATCACCCAAAAATTAGAATTCTGTCATTGTTTTATACGAAAGCCTGTTTCTGGCACAGAATGAAAAAAAAAGGTAATTGATAGTTCATATCTCAATTCAAACATTTTAATATAAAGATATAAACTCACATTTCTGACAAAAAAAGTCTGAATTTGCAACTTTTTATCTCACAATTCGGATTTTTTCTTATATCTTGCAATTCTGTATGTATGTCTCACAATTCAGAGTTTATAAAACAAATTGGGAGATATAATCTGTCATTGTTTTATACGAAAGCCTGTTTCTGGCACAGAATGAAAAAAAAAGGTAATTGATAGTTCATATCTCAATTCAAACATTTTAATATAAAGATATAAACTCACATTTCTGACAAAAAAAGTCTGAATTTGCAATTTTTTATCTCACAATTTGGATTTTTTCTTATATCTTGCAACTCGGTATGTATGTCTCACAATTCAGAGTTTATAAAACAAGGCCAAATTGGGAGATATAATTAGAATTGTGAGATAAAGAGTTGCAATTACCTTTTTTTATTCCTCATGTCATTTCTAAACCTGTATGACTTCTTAATTTCTGCATAATATGAAAGGAAGTTATGAAAATCTGTTTTTGTTTTTTTTGGCCATACAATTAAAGTCGGAGGTCTATTGTAGTTTTAGACCCCACTGACTTGGACTCATTGTACGGACAAAAAAAAAAAACAGTTCTTCAAAATATCTTTTCTGCTCCTTTCATGATAAACGAAGACAGAATTTTCATATTTGTGTGAACTACCCCTTTAAGGCTCATAACTAACCAGCCGCAATATTAAGAGATTACACAATGTGTGTATCATTACAAATGTGATATATACGTGGTTACTTCAAAAAGCAATTACCAACTCTTTGATTCTTACCTTTCCATCATGTTCAAAGTGATATTAAGGCACAATAAACTATCACAAGATCATGTGATTTGTTGCTAATAATGAATAAACAGCACATTTCCCCCATCAGAAGAGCAATCTTCCGGGTGGGTACCGTAACAAATAATTCACAGCAAAAATCAGGAAGGTGTATTCTTAGTCCTTCCAGCAACTTTTGTAAAATTCTGTTCAACAGATACAATCAGGTAAAAGGCTGAATGAGATAAATTCCAAAGACAACATACACATGAAAATACATCAACAATAAATAAATAAAACACTCACATAAAAGGTAAAGAACGAGAGAGAAACAGCAGAAAAATAGAAAATGAATGAATTTTAGAAGGAGGTTTTCTGCTAATTGGCTCTGTGGTGATGGAGCAGGAAGTTGACATCTAAATTGAGGCACAATGTTGTTCTGCTCTTTCTGATGTTTTTCGTAAGGTCCTGTTTGTCACATAGTCATGGTTGTCGCTCTCAGCCATTACACTGCTGCTGGTAACGGCGATTGAGTTCTCGCAGCTCCTTCTCGCGAACGCGTCGCGCTTTGCTGGACTTCGTGGAGCGGCTGGAGCGAGTGGACTGTGCTGATTTGGTGCTCTGGCAGCGTGATGACACTCTCTTCAGCAGGTTCTGGGAAATGGACCGCTGCAGGTTCTTCATGGAGGAGGAAGCAGCCATGCTGACAATCCAAGGGTGTTTAAGTGCCTGGCCCGCAGTCAGACGCTCAGTGGGATCCACCGTGAGGACACGGTCAATGAAGTCCTTAGCAAGGTTGGAAACACTTGGCCATGGCTGTCAGAAAACAGAAGAGAACAGAAAATAGCTTAGAAGTATTCAGACATTCTCAAAAGATTCTAAGACTTTTATAGAGTTTTTTTATACAGTGTAGAGGGAAAATAAGATCTTCAAATAAATTGATTCAAAGGTTTAAAAGTTGCAGCTGTACATGACAACATGTAACAACCCAGCTAATAAAATATATATAAACTATCATTCAAATGTTTGGGGCT